GTCTTTTATACTGTTATATATACATTTTATTATTATTTCATTCATATCATATTTAAGGATACTTTTATTGTTTTTTCTGCTCTTTTTTTTTCAGATTCTTACCCAAAAGCTGTTCAAAAATTAAAAGATACTAAATATACTTCAGATTTACAAACAGAAGTTAAGAAAATTTGTCAACGACCAAAACGTAAATGGTGCTTAACATTTTTAAAAATAAATAATAATTAAGATTTTCTGAATAAAAAATTGTTTTAGGTATATAATTTACACAAACAAAAACAGAACTGTTTTTTTTCTGAAAAACTTCTGATGTAATAGTAGGTAAAGTAGGAAACGTTGGATCGTTTTTTTACTGATTGTTTTTTATTGTGATTAACATAACAATAAAAATTTTAATTTATTATTTTTAATTTATTTATTAAAGTGTTTGTATGGCTCAGTACATAAAATATAAAGTTAAAATGTGGCTGATACTGTAAGCAAGAATTTGTGGAAAATATAGTTTTTTTGTCTTTCTATTTGTCTGATATTTTGATCGGCATAGTCATTGTTTGAAGGTTATTTAAAAACTAGTTTACACTTTTTTACTCTTAGTGTTCTTTCTGTCAAATCATAATATATACGTTATTAACTATTTTTTTTAGAAAAGCAAGGTTTTGCTTTAGTGTTAAGGCAATAACTTGATGATGTTGAAAATGATAGTGTTTACCAGATTATTAATCTTCATATTCACGAGATAATGAAGCAGCTAGAGTACTTGGTCATAGTTATCAATCAGATGCAGCGCTAATACGTGACAATTTTTTAGATAACAGTTTTGAAGACGATTTTCATAAAATAGAAAAAATAATTTTGTTTCAAAGCAAGCTAGAACAAGGATTGAGCATTCCATTCTGAGCTTTCCACAGACTTTTAATTTTAATTATTAATTTTAATTATCAATACTCAACATCTACAACCATTTGCTGATAAAAGTTTTGAATTTTCTGATGAGGATTTTGAACAAAATTTTGTTCAGGCTGGTGAGGAACTTGTCATTTTTACAATTTTTTTGTACTATTATTATGGTGTATTCTGGTACTGTTTTTAATTTCCTGTTAAATTCCTGTAAGTGACAAAAAAGTAATCTCTATATATATATATATATGTGTGTATATATAAAAATTATTTTAGTGTATTCTACAAATAGAGTGCTCAATGAGCCTAAAGAACAGAGCAATAATAAATTAGTAAAAACACTTATTTATCTTTTTCTTTTTAAACTTGTTTAACCTTCAAATGGCTCATCAGTAAGCTATTTACGTCATCATCATTGAAGATGAAATAAGTTTTAGAGGAACAATATAGATAAGGGGGCATCCGTAAATTACTTAGACATTAAAACACTGATTTTGGACCCCTTGTATGCACCTGTATGCATTTGTTGAACCTCCCCCCATGTCTGTACGCATAATTTATTACAAAATCAAGCTCCACCTTCCCCAATGCATAAGTATTTTAAAATGTTAAAAAAAAAAAAAATATTTAATTAATTTAACATTTTTCTGTACTTAATTAAAACTTCAAATGCTACTTAATGTACTTATTTAAATCTTAAATTTTTACATCAACATTTTAATCAACATTTTAAAAGAAATGCTTAAAACCAGGTTGCGTAATTAAAAAAAATTCAAAATATGTTTGCTTTTGTTTGTCTTTTTGCTTCTCATCTTGCTTCCAAATGAATTACGTTGCAAAAAATAAAATACATTATTTGAAACAATTATTGCTCAATTTATATTTTTCTCTACTCATTATTTATAAAGTTTTTTGAAATAGTTAAAAATATTTATATATAAATATATAATTTTGATAAATAGTTGTTAATTGATAAGTAATTGTTTTATGAGTTTGTATGTGCAATGTGCAATTTATAATTTAACTAGGTTGTTGCTGTTTCTTCCAAACGTGGGACTGCATTAATGCTGTGAAATTTATGCTAAAGACCATGTTGACTAATCAAGATTTAAGAAATTTAACTGGACAGGACAACCCCTAAACACCAAATTCGGGAACGCAAATGCCATGGAGTTTTAAGTATGTATTTATAATATTCTAAGAGTCTAAATAATTCTTGTATCCTAAGCGGAATCTCCATCGGATGAATCGGAATTCCAAATGAATATTTGATGTTTTTTTACACAAATATATAAATATATAAGTTAGGTAAGACTAACTTTAAGGGGAAAGAATTTTTTTTTAATTCTTATTTCTTTAAAGATTAACAGCAACTTAGATTTCGACTGAAAAAGGAAGTGGAGGACATGAATAAAAAACCTATGTTTAAATGGCCAGCAGTGTTGCAAACGATGTCATCTGGAATGCAGCCAATGCTGCATTCCAGATGACATCGTTTGCAAGCTTGAAGTAATGACTACAAAAACAGGATGTGGCTACTATTTAGATGACAAAGACAACTTTAACAAATTTATTTTCTGAAGGAAATAGAGATTTTTATATT